CAAGTCTAGTTGCATTGCCCAGTGTAGTGACATGGCTCTGCAAAATCAAATTTTAGAAGATAAATTAGAAAGTATATCCAAAGAAAATTTTCTTCTTGCACAGAAGCTGACAGACTGTAAAGGACTTGTAACTGAATACAAAAGTTACCAAAGCAAATTTGAGACTTGTTTGTCAGAGAATGCAGAGCTATCTCTTCTGTTGAAACATGAAGCATCAGAAAATGCGAATCTTCAAAATGAAATCTCTCTTTTAAAGGAAAATTTGAGGCTGCTTAAAGCTGAATCAGATGAATTGGCTTCCGTAAAAGAAGAGCTTGAGGAAAATATCTGCTTTGTGAAAGATAAGTTGGCTACTCTGTTGTCATCATACAGTAAACAATTTCGTGGATTGGCTTTTTTCGGTAACTCTAAATGTCTTGATGAGTGCACAGATTTCAAAGATGCCATCTTGCAGTTAGAAGAAATCCAGCATAATGCATATGGCAAGATACTCCAAATGCTGGACGAGAAGAAAAATCTAGAAAGTGAAAGAGTCACTGCTGAGATGTCCTTGACAGCTGCCAGGTCAGAAATTCTGGCAATGAAGCGGAAATTCAAAGGTGACATGCAGGATATGGCAGCTAAATTAGTTGTATCTAATGCCCTTGTGAATAACCTTCAAGTTCAATTCGAATCTGTTGCTGACAAATTCCACCATGCTTCTGAAATTGAAGAAAGGTCTGCAAAGCAGAACAGAGAACTTTTGGATTATCTTGCCCTTCTACAGGATCAGATGCAGGAACTAACTTCTAAAAATGGTCACATTGCTCAAGAGATGTTAGGCTTGGACATTCTGGCTGAGGAACTCGGGAGCAATAAATCGACCATAACAGAGCTAATTCAAGATAACCAATACCTCAGGGTGTCCTTACAGGATAAAACTGGGGAATCTATCAAGCTAGCATCTGAGATTAGTTGTCTGGAAGAAAATTTGAGAAATTTGCGCAATGAGTTACATATTGAAAAGGGTTTCAAAGATGAACTAGAGGAAAAAATCCGAGATCTTGCGTCTCAGTTGAACAAGGAGCGTGACAAAGTGGTCTATTTTGAACAGCAAAAAACTGAACTCACGCGCTTCAGGCAAGTGGCATCAGATCTAGAGTTGGAAAAATCAAGACATTGTCACCTTTTGGAGCAGCAAAACGGTTTCATGGAAAAGCTTCAAAAAAGTTCTTCTCATACAACAGATCTTGAAAGTCGGTTATTTGAAATGCAAGATTACTCAATTGCTGCAGATGTTAAACTTGTTTATATCACAAACCAATATGAAACCCTACTTGAGGAACATGTGCAGAAATTTGAAGGTGACATGAAGGATATGGCTGCTAAACTAGTAGTGTCCAATGCCCTTGTGGACAACCTTCAAGTTCAACTTGAATCTGTTGCTGACAAATGCCACCTCACTTCTGAAATTGAAGAAAAGTCTGCACAGCAGAACAGAGAACTTTTGGCTGATCTTGCTCTTGTACAAGATCAGATGCAGGAACTAACGTCTAAAAATGGTCACATTGCTCAAGACATGTTAGGCTTGGACGCTCTGGCTGAGGAACTCAAGAGGAATAATTCAACCATTACAGAGCTAATAACAGACAAGAAAGACCTCATGATGTCCTTACAGGATAGAACTGGGGAATCCATGGAGCTTGCATCTGAGGTTAGTTGTCTAAAGGAAAATTTGAGAAATTTGCATGAAGAGCTATGTATTGAAAAGGGTTTCAAAGATGAACTAGAGGAGAACATCACAGATCTTAAGGTTAAGTTAAACAAGGAGCGTGACAGAGTTCTCAATTTTGAACAGCAAAAATCTGAGCTGATGCACTTCAGGCGAGTAGCATCAGATCTTGAATTGGAGAAATCAAGACTTTCTCACCATTTGGCGCAGCAAAATGAGTTTATGGAAAGGCTTCGGAAAAATTCTTCTCATACAAATGATCTCGAAAGTCAGTTATTTGAAATGCTTGAGTACTCAATTGCTGCAGATGTTAAACTTGCTTATGTCACAAATCAATATGAAATAATACTTCAGGAACTTGTGCAGCAACTTAAGTCCTCAGATGGGTGCCTTTTGGAGCTTCAGAAAAGGTATCATGATATGGAGACTGTGTTAAATCAGCAGCTTTCAAGTGAAGCACATATGACTGAAGAAAATGCTAATTTATTGACTAGCTTTAAGACCCTGAGAACAGAATTCGAAGCTTCTATAGCTCAAAACAAGCTTCTTTCAGATTCTAACAATGATATCAAGTATCAACTCGAGGAGTACGAGAGGAAGTTGACAATGATGCAAACCTGTTTTTCCAAGGATAATTTACTAGCTGCAATGATAGAACAGCTAAAAGACACTTTGGCAGAGGCTGAAGAGGATATCTGTCACTTGACATTCTTGAACGAGGAATTGGAAATTTTGTCAATAGTGTTCAAAGGCAAGGTGGATGAGCAATATGCTTATATGACTTCATTGGAGGATAACAGAGACGAACTCCTGATGCTTCGGTCCCGATGTAACGAGCTCTCCCACAAACTTTCTGAACAGATTATGAAGACAGAAGAATTTAAGAACTTATCCACCCATTTGAAGGAACTCAAAGACAAAGCTGAAGCTGAGTTCTCCCATGCTCAGGGAAAAAGAGAACCTGAAGGACCACCAGTTATCATGCAGGATTCCTTGAGAATTGCATTCATCAAAGAACACTACGAGACTAAAATCCAAGAACTGAAGCAGCAGCTTTCTATATCCAAAAAGCATGGTGAAGAGATGCTTATGAAATTGCAAGATTCCATTGATGAAATTGAAAATAGGAAGAAGTCAGAAGCTGTGAACTTGAAGAGGAACAATGAGCTAGCGCTCAAACTCTTGGAATTGGAAACAGAATTGCAATCTGTACTTGCAGAAAAGCGTGAAAAAGTCAATGCTTATGATCGCATAAATGCAGAATTGGAATGTGTAACTCTGAGCCTTGAATGTTGCAAGGAAGAAAAAGAAAAACTTGAAGCTTCTTTCAGAGAATGTGAGGGGGAAAAATCTCGACTTGCTGTTGAACTTGACTCGATAAAAGAACTGGAGAAATTCAGATCTTCCAGCACTGTTCAAAAGGAGGAAAATAATGAGGCGGCTGAAGTAGACTACGTGCTCAATGAGTCATGTAGAAACTCTTCCCCTAATTTCTTCTGCGCAATGTGTTCAAAAGAAATGGTAAATACTCAGCAACTTATTGAAATAAGTTTTTGCAACTTAGTCTATAATATTTGTCTTGCACATAGTGGTATTGATCTTGAGAACTGTGATGTATACCTAAGTAGAAGTTTTTTAACTTGAGGTATGAAGCAAGAGAATGTAGTTTATGAACGTTAAATGGTGTCAAGTCTATTGTCCAACTCCATGGAAAAAAGACTTCTTTTGTCATATAACCACGAAATTTGTAATTATGCTCTAAATTTCTTACCATGTTGGTTCGCCAAAATGATTGTGTTGTGATTTAGAACTTTAGGTAAAATTATTGATATTTTTTAGTTTTCATATATTCCTGCAGAGCAATGGAAAGAGTTTAAATGTCGATAATGATCATTTGGCAACCCAAAGGCTGAAGTCTAGCATGGAGCACATGCATGAAGAGGTATTTCTTTCTAGCAGATCATAAAATTACTGATACCACATTCTGCAACCTAAGATCATAACTCTCAAACTTCTGCCTTTAACACTAAATTGCTGAGGATCTGTTTGATGGGCTTCCCTGCAGCTGGAAAAGATGAAAACTGAAAATACTCAATTTCTCAAAGATCGTGATTTTGACCCTGGTTCTCAAGATGCAGAAGAACTCGTGCAATTACATAAGGTGAGTTACTAAATTATGTAACTTATATTTATATTGCCTGCAAACTCTAATCTCCATTTCTTCATGTTTCTTTGGAAGGTAAATAATGAGCTCAGAAGCATGTTTCCTTCATTCAATGAAATCTCTAGTGGAAATGCATTAGAAAGAGTACTTGCGCTGGAAATCGAGCTTGCTGAATCATTGAAGACAAAGAATAAATCGAATATCCATTTCCAGAGGTAAGTCGTCTTCAAATCTGCAAATCTTGAAATGGACTTCTATGGGTAATTACCGAATTTAACATGATATTTTGCTCCAAATTTCAGTTCATTCCTGAAACAACATAGCGATGAGGAAGCAGTGTTCAAAAGCTTTAGAGACATCAATGAGCTGATCAAACAGATGTTAGAAATCAAAGGCAGCCGTGCAGCTGTGGAAGCAGAATTGAGAGAAATGCACGATAGGTACTCTCAACTGAGCCTTCAGTTTGCTGAGGTCGAAGGTGAGAGACAGAAACTCAAGATGGCACTAAAAAACATTCGGGCATCGAGAAAGCTCGTCAGCCCAAGTCCATCCTCGTCTCTGGATCTCTAAGCCACCGGATACAGCTTCAGAATATGTTGTATCTAACTCGTGGGCTTTGAAAGATAAATGCATTCCTTGATGTAAATAAAAATGAGGTGGCCAGAGAATTTTACCAGCGTAGAATTGTGGTGTAGATTTATGTAATTTAAAAATCTTTTATTTACCTAAAAGTCTTTTGCTCCTTTTACCTTATCCAAGCGTTATCCCTTCCCTTTGTTGTAATTAATAATGTATAGATAATCTATTGGTTCAATTTATCATTCCTGGTTTTAAGACAGTGCTAAAGGTATCTAAAGTTGATTATATCTACATTTTACTACTTCCATCATTTTTCTCTTCCATTGATGGATGGTATCTTGAAATAAATTTGAATCGATTTATGACGAATTTATGATTTTAGAACACACGTTCGTCCTCCAATCCACATGCCTAAAAACACAATCTAAAACAAGCTATAAATCAAATATACCATGTAACAAGTTCTGTATCATCTATTTTCAAGAAATACATTAGAAACAATGCAACCCAATCCCAAATCAATACACTTTGCTTTTGCTCCTTTATCTATTGAGTTCTACAAATGCAATACTGCATTTCAACTTCCTGTGAAACCAATTCATCATCTGAATTCACAAAGCAAAGCATTATGCTCCACAATTGGGCACCAACAATGGCAAAGCACTGAACCGGCGTGACAATGGCAACAAACAAGTAAACTTGGCATTCTCGCTTCTTTGCATCTATTAACAGGTGTAATACTCCTAAATGCAATCCAGCTCCAATGCTAACAATTTGGGAAGCAGAGATTTGTTAGGTCACTTACAAGATAGAGCACGAACATCCACCTTTCTTCATGGCATCATCCTTCTGTTTATCTGTGCATATGAATTCAGATAAAAATGAACATGAGAAGAGAAACGGAGCAAGAAGTTGTGAGTAAGGAAGAGGGAAAAGGCTTCCAATAAGAGAACAGCTTGGGAAATATGGCATGTTCAGTACGGAAGATGTGCTAATAGTGAACGATACTAAGCAAGAAAAATAAGCTAAAATATCACTTTATTATACTGACAAGTTCTGTACGAAACAATATAGTAACACTGCAGATAGGCAGGGCAAGCCATTTATCTAAAATCATCATGCGTGTGCAATGTATAAAATGCACTCAAATGTATTCTTTTGGGGATTACCAGTATTTTTGTCCAGAAGAGGAGGACGCACAACGACATGCATAGTAATGACACCTCCAGGAACTTCAGTGAGTGGCAATCGCGATTCCATAAGTGTTTTGTTGTTTTCCAGTATCTTTCCCGCGTTAATAAGCTTTAAATCATTTATAGATTTAGGTCCATTTTCTCTGTCTGCATTATGAATGATCTCAGTGAGGATAATGCATTCAACATATAAACCAAAGAAAATAAGTCCACTGTAATTACACTAAAGAACAAGTAAAAATAAAAAACCATCTTAATACAAATGAAGAAGATATAGGCATAATATAATATCTCAGTGAATACTGTAAAGAAAAGCTCATGTAGAGGAAGCTAATGGATCCTCACACAATACGTTTTCTTTCAATTGTGTCTTTGTTATATTCCTTAAGCTTGTCTGATCATCATATTTTGACGTAAAGGAATAGAAAAAGAGCCTATATAATCAAACAGTTGTTTCATCGATGAAACGTCCTCTCTATGGAAGCATGTTTTCTCTGTGTGGAAGTAATCCATGGTAGCTGATACTAAAGCCAACAAGCATGGAGGAAAACAGAACTTCTAAGAATCATTTAGCTTTTCTTGTAAGCTGAGAAACAAGGATTAAAGAAAATAGAAATTTGCATTGCTCAAGTTATTGACTGAGAAACTTGAAGCCCTCCTTAAGGGAATTCATCTAGCAGTAAATGTTGGGAATACTAAGAAATGTTTCATGAGTACAGTGTACTAAATAATATATGCATCATAACATGAAAAACTAAAACTACATATTCAAGCCTGCACACAAATAATTCAATTTCCAACACACGAAACCGAACAATAAAATTGAATCAGATAATCCTAAAATTCCAGCAGAAGAGCAGAAAAAAAGATATATAATTAACACTTGACATTTCATATTATCTTAGAAATCAGTGACAAAAGAAAACCTTTGGGCCATTGTGCAATTATCTTTTCTTTGAGAAATCCCACAGTTGTACTGGAACTGTATTTGATTGGTCCAATATCACTGCCATCAGCAAGCCTGAATTTGAGCTCAACCAATTCTTCCACAGCCATTAACAATCTAGCAATAATAGATAACCTAAATTTCTTGTAAAACCACAAGGAAATTCAATTGCAGCACCACATTAGAGTTAAAAAATCCACCTTTTCGTTGTTCAACAAACAACTCCTTTAAAACAAGAAATTAAGGCTAAAACCTAAATAACCCTGATCAATTAAGAAATACACAGAAATTCAAATCTCCAAATTCAATAGGATTCCATTTCAGGTACAGATCCTCAAGAACCAAGATCAAAACTTACAAGATTCGCAATGAATGTATGAAAAGGAATAAATTTATGAGAGCTTGAAGATTCTTTGCGCGAAACGGACGGTAATGCGAAGGGGTTGATAATTGAATTGAATACTTGTCAGCTGCAAGAATGAGAAACAGTTGAATACTTGAACAATTGAATATTGTGCTTTGAATAATTTATTGATGTAGGATAAGAAATAAAAATTTACGAAGACTGCCAAAATGGAAGGTTTCCAAGTAAGATTCTTCTTCTTTGAATCAATCTAGAAAATTTATTGACTTTTGACACACAGATATTTTACTCGTTCCATGAACAGTTGCAGCTGAGAAATTTGACTGTATAAATTGCACAATGACCGCTTCATCTTCCTATTAATTGAATTCAACCCCTCTACTTTGCAACATTAAAGGCTAAAGTAAATTAACAAAAGATACACCTAGAATTCTGCGAAAAGTTGTATTCGATAAAAATCGCATTAGAGGGAGATCCAGCCTACAATATGAAGTAAAAAAATTAAAATAAGTGATTTTAACCCTTGTTTGGTATTCATTATTTTCAAAATACATTTTTTTTATTTTATTTTTAGCTGCATATTTTTCAATAAAATAATATTATATGCATATTCAAAATTGTACTTATTATTTTTTTTTTTTTGTAAAAAATGAGCTCAAACAAACCCTAAATATTAAGTCTCCGTTCAGTGGAGAGTAAAATCAGATTTTGATAAAAGTTAATGACATATATGGTTGAAAAGTTGTGAATGCAATGAAATTTGTTATTAAAATTAATTATTAAATTTGACTTTAATAAAAATCTAAATTATAATTTTTATCAAATCGAAAAGTTGTGAGTCCATAAAATATTTAAAAGAAAAACAGTTCGACGATATACTGAAAAAAGCATTTAGCTTCAGCACTTTTGGATCTACATTTTGTCGTTTTACATTCACGACTCTCACTAAGCTCATGTTTGAGTCACATTCTCATTTTCATTTTCATTCTTTTACTCATTTTCAATCACACATTTTTCAATAAAATATTATTTTACATCACATCAATAATTTTTCCTTATTTTTCAATCATATATTCACCATCACATCACAAAAAAAAATGCATTATCTCCTAAAAATGTGCCTCAAACACACGCTAAAAGTAAAAATGCATAAGAGATTTTGTGTGAATACCCCTTCAACTTCTAAATTCTTGATATTTAAAGCTTGATTTTGATTAATCAAACGCTTTGGAATAAGTANTTTTTCGGGAAGAATTGATTTTGAATAGTGATATGATGCGAAATGTGTGGTTGAAAAAGAAGAAAAAATTATTGATGTGATGGAAAATATTATTTTATTGAAGAATGTGTTGTTAAAAATGAGAATTGATTTACTGTAAAAAAATCTAATCCCTTCCAAACAGGGCTATAAATCAGTATTTTAAAAGGCGTAAAGTGTGGCTATATATGAATGTCAAGTTTCAAACTTTACAAGTCTAAACGATTTTAGACGAAGTCTTGACGTAAAAAAATGTTTTCTTATTTTCGATATTATTTTGAATTTCTAATCATTTTAAAAATTGTTTAATAATTAAAATAATATATAATAAATATCTAAAATTACAAGATACTAGAGTTACTTAATAGTTTCAATAATTATTCAAAATACAATTTTCAAATTTTCGAAATGCGAAAATTATCCTATTTTTCGTAATTTTAATAAGTCCTACTTGAAATTTTCTAACGTGTTTTCATTTTTGATTTTTGTACTGATGAAGTCATTTAAAAACTTGAAATCAAAATCAAATAAAAAGGCTTTTAAGAAAAAAAAGTTATAAAGCGTCCGGCGTTCATTGTCAAAGCATGACGCTTTGTGCGAGCTTTGAGCTTTAACTTTTTAGAGCCCCAAAAAATTAAGCAATTGTTGACACCACAGGTACAGACGTACGCATCGAAGTTTGGACAAGACTGTAGGTGTTATCGGTTTCGGTACAATGCAGAAGCAGCCCAATCATGGGAACTGACACTAGGAGTGGCTAGCTGTACACCATATCGATCAGGGGAATAGTTCATATCGTCTGTTTTTATTTTTATTTATTATTTATTTTTATTATTATTATTTAAAAAAAAATCCTGTGACTGAGTCTTTACAAGTAGCACGGTTGGTCAATTCATCATGTACGTTCATTTTTACTCAGAGCTTGTTTAGTAGGGATTTTTGGGGGAAGAATTGATTTTTGAATAGTGATATGATAGGAAATGTGCGGTTGAAAAAGAAGAAAAAATTATTGATGTGATGGAAAATATTATTTTATTGAAAAATGTATGGTCGAAAATCAAATCAATTCTCAAATCAAAAACAAACACCCCCTAAATTACGAAGTTAAGGTCAATGAAGAGGAAACAAGCGTAAATCATGTTCTAGCTAAAATACAACGTTATTAAGAGCTTGTTTGGGAGAGATTTTTGGAGGAAGAATTGATTTTGAATAGTGATATGATAGGAAATGTGCGGTTGAAAAAGAAGAAAAAATTATTAATGTGATGAAAAATATTATTTTATTGAAAAATGTGTGATTGAAAATGAGAATTGATTTGAGAATCAATTTTCAAATCACTACCAAACACCCCCTCATATTGATTTCCTTTCCCCTAACATCACCCGCACGCACATACTAAATTCTCCTCCATCGCCTGAAACGAATATAAACTTGGATTATCTAAAATTTCGTACTTATTTTAAATCACATATTCTTCAAAAAAAATATTTTTCACGTTTTCTCATCATTTTTTCTTAATTTTTAACTACACATTTAAAAAAAAAAAATCAAATAATCAATTCCAAAATATCTTTATCAAACAAGTTCTTGATGTAAAAAATTTTGTTTCACTAATACATGAAAATTCAGTAAAAAGTGTAATTCATTCTTAAGTAAATACTTCTAGGATTTTTCTATTGTTCAAATATTGATAGTGTTGAGAATTTAAATCGTAATTCTATTTCACCGAGATCAATCAATTGCAGAAAGAAAAATAAACACGCAAGATTTATGAAGATTCGTTTCAATGTGAGACTACGTTCTCTTCGTCACCACAATAATTCACTATAATGAAAAAATATTTACATGATAAAAATGTACACCTATCTTCTCTAACTTTTCTCTCTCTTTTTTATGATGACAATCAAAAAGCTTAGACAGTGTTTGGTGAGTATTAAAATTAAATTTTTAGTAGATTGTGATATAAATTTTTGAAATGTGCGGTTGAAAAGTTGTGGGACCTATGAAAGATGTGATTAATATTGATTGTTTGACTTCGACTTAAATTAAAATTTGATTTTAATTTGAAACAAACGGGGCCTTAATAACAGCTTCTTATTTATGAAATAAATTAAGGCAAACCCGAATGTTGCAAGGATATCAATTCTTTAGTAAATTTTTATAGGAACACAAATTCCTAAACGGTTTTTGGTCTGGGGCTCCTGCCTCCCTTACAACCTCCACGACGACATCAATGGAAAGGTCAATCATCGACAAGCTTCGAAAAGCGATAATAATTAGGCTCCACAACTTAACACATGAAATATTTAATTTCTAATGTTCTTGAATAAAAAAAAATAAAATAAAACTGAATGGATAATGCTGTTCAATATGTAAAGCAAAATGAAAATATTAAGCTCCCATTTACTAAATAATCAATGAATTAACTTGCAGATTGATAATCGGAGGGTGAGTAGGGGAGGGGTGGGGGTGCTTAGCTATGAACTGGCCGAAGCGGTGGCGCTGCCACCGCAAACCCTTTTGGGTTTGCTCCCATACTACAGAACCCGGTCCCAGCTCCACATTGATCAGACTCCTCCATCACCATTGTTTCATTCTCCTCCATCTGATCTTCTTCTGTTATCGTATCATGTCCGTCAATTTCATCGATCTGATCATCGTCGTCTTCGTCAACTTCGTCGTCAAAGGGGATTAAATTCAGTACAAGCCTCCCATTGGACCTGTGCGCTTCAAAATACTCATGGCGCTTCACTTTTTCTTCTCTGATAATTAATCTCCCATCACTAGTATAATACTTTTTCATCACCCACGGCATCAGCATGTGAGATGGCAAATTTCCAGTGCGCGCCAGCCACGGAATTGGTGGCGGATAAATTTTCTCCGCCGTATCTCGCTTAATTCCCCGCCGCCGATTATTAATACTCCGACTGGAGACGTCCGTGTCCAGGTCAGTTTTCATATCAACACAACTCTCCACGCCAATGTAATCACCCAATTCTGGATTCTGCATAATGGAAAAATTGTGAGGGTTTGATTGCGGTTAATTTATGCATGGGTGTAGGGTTGTATAGTATATAGGGGATAGGAACTGCAGAATATTGAGAAGAGGGAAAATTTGGCAGTGCCAGCTAATGGTAATCTTCAGGGATTGTGATATTTACAGATTTGGATTGTTATGGCAAATTAATCTGTAAAAATGGAAAATATCAACAATTCAAATGAAATCGATAGATAGAGATTTCCAAATTTTGATATGAAAATTCGAAATCCAATGAGGAATAACTTAACTGTGATAATCGAATATTTACAACATTAAAGTTAAATAACATGGTTAAATGGGTTGATAAAGTAGAGTCATCAAATATCACCAGAATATTTTATATAAAATTGTATTGAATTCGAAGTTCGAACTATAAGGGTTCGTTTGATTGTAAGAATGGAATTTGGGTGGAAAGAAAATGAATTTCAGAAAATTGAATTGTTTAAAACTTATTTTATTGAGAATTGTCAATTAATTGTATTTGATTGATATAATTTTTCACCTGAAAAATATTAAATTTTAGATCTTTTGGTGTTCGTTTGTCTTTGTTTTTCATGAAAATTGTACATTAACGGGATATAATTTGTTACAGTTGGAAATAGAATTTGTTTCCATTGCCCAAAAAAAAATTTAAAAAAAAATTGCCTAGAAAGCCAATTCCATGAAAAATTTGGGCAATCAAACATGCAAAAAGGTGGAAAATGGAGTTTAATTTCCATCTTCTATGTAATTGAAATGGAATTGGACTCTTTGTGAGTACCAGTACGACAGCTTTTATACCCTTACCTACTAAGGCACATCCCGCAATTTACCTCCTCCACAATACTTTAGGGATGGGGCGGTGGGGACCCTCAAGGTTGGGGTTCCAACTTTTTTTTTCTTTTTTTTTTTTTTATATTGTTCCAATTTTAGGGCGAATTTAAGGGATACAGACAGGTTCGAGAATGTTGGCAATCGGTGGACTTATTGGTTGTACACGTAGTTGTATGAATGTCACATGTCTAAGAGTTCGTGAACCACGTATTTAATTGAGAATCTTGTTTGTTCTTGAAAATTTGCATGCCTGTCATATGTTTTTAATTTTTTCGTATTTACAGTTTTCAGGCTGAAACAAAATTAGAAATATCGAACTCAAATTCAATGGATTAACGAATTTTATGGTATTTCAAACGACACAGTACCTAAACTAAAACGAAAACGAAAAAAAATAAAAATGAAAATGAAAGCTCAATAACTAATTTGAAAAAAAATAAAAGGTTCAGTGACTAAAACAACACAACACAACACAAATGGTGCTTTTGATTGCAAAATGAAATTTGTATAAAAAGAAAATAAATTATAAACAATTTAGTTATCTAGAACTTATTTGCCTGAAAATTGTTAATTAAATGTATTTGATTAATTTAGTTTTCAACATAAAAAATATTATACTTGTCTATTTTTTATTGGTGGATAGATGAAAGAGAAGACATAGATGAGAGAGAAAAAAAAGAGTGAATTACATGTAAAATAAAATTCACATCTCTCCAAAGAAAACATTTTCCTCATTTTCATAGAAAACATGATCATGTACCCAAAATAGGAAAATATTTTTCATGGAAAAAATTATCAATCAAATAACACAAAATTAAAAAATTAGATAAAAAAAACACATTTTCAATGAAAAATATTGATCAAACATATCCTAAGTTCAGAGACTAGCCCACAGTATCATAGACATTCCTTAATTTCAAACTTCTCAAGTTCATCTCTGCACAATAACAAGCATTATCCGGCAAAGAAATCAAATACACCACACAATCTAAGCCATGCAGGTCTTGTACAAAAAACCCTGTGGGGGCTGTTGCACAGCACAGAACGTATACTTAGTTGGGTCGAGCATGACCAGGACGTTGCTAATGGATCATGCCCGCGGCTATGGATTAAGTGAGCATAAAACCCCATTGTGATTAATCATCAACAAGCTTCAAAGTAATTAATTAATTAGTACTAAGTTTTAGTGACAAAACGATAAAAATACTCCAAAGTTAAAGCATCATCCACAATCACCTTTCAAGATGATAATTTTCTAATACAAATGCGTCTAACAATTTCAACAACAGAAGATATCGTAAACCATATAAGATGGCTCTATTGGTTCTATGATGGTATGCATTACTTTGCAGTCTCACTGATCTCCTGGCAACGACTTTATGATATCTGAATCACCTGTAAAATTATAGCAGTACACGTCCATTTGGTTAATTGTTCGTGTGGTAAATGGTTATTTACTTCAAAGGGGGTGAAAGAACAAAATTCTCAAACCTGGATCAACGATGCTGAGGCATGACACGCGGAAATACTTTCCACATGCTGTTCCCAGATCAACATTGTCTAAACATACAGTAAATCACATAATCAGATTATAAGCAGATGATAAAATACTGAAAAATACTTTCATTACCAGTGTTGAATACAGATAGAAAAACAAGAACTCGCTATCAAGCAAAAACTACACGTACAGAAGAGTAGGTTGGGTAAGAAGCAATGAGTTCTGTAACACATCCATTAAAATAGAACAGACATAGTTGGAGAATCAAAATGGTCTGAATAGATATGGATCGGGAAGAATCCACAATGCATCAATTAACATGTAAAATTTAAGCATTACAACAGATCCAAACCTCGAAATTATCCAATAAGCACATTTAAACATTTGAAAAGGGTTTTCACAAGACACACAACTACCAATCTTGATAATTACAGTTGAAATCAGGTGTACTTTTCAAGGGGAAAAAAGGAATTTAACAGAAGAATCATGCTACATGCTACATGTACAACAATGGTTGACAACATTGGTTGACAACATCCTATTTGGCATCATCATATCCATCCATTTTAAAAAACTGTTTTCTTTATCACACTTGTCAACCATTGTTGTACACTTAGATTTATTCTTAACGGAATCCATCCCTCGAATAAATTTAGAAACCGTGAAAATTCCAACACAAATCCATTAAAGAACAATTGAAACAACTCCATAAGGCCATTCAAAAGACGAGAATATTTGGAAATGGAAAATCAACACTCAATCATACCATTACCACTATAAAATTTAAACAAACTCAAATGTAAACATCAACTATCACTAATAAAAGATTCCATCGAATGTAAGAATTTAAGCATTAATATAATGATTTGCACATTTAAGCACTAGGTCAATTGTAAATATTCTATCAGGACTCTGAACAACCTTAACAAGATACCAATAACACGATAATTAGAACTCTTCAATCCAGTGTTAAAGATAAAAAAAATATGAACTTACTTCCATTATAATGGTGGACTCCAACTTTAGCAAGCATAGCATAGTACTCAATCTCGGACTTTCTCAATGGTGGGCAGTTGTTCGATATCAATATCAACTTCCCTGTTATATTAATTTCCCAACATTTTTAAATTACTTTTTCACAATATCCTAAATATAATCTCTATTATTAATTAATTATAAAAGTATATTAAAAAAAACCTTTGGAATTTCTAAGGGTTTTGAGGACGGTCTTGTAACCGAGTGTGTATTTGCCACTCTTCATCACCAGAGCCAGCCTGTTGTTTATGCTCTCGTGAGTCTTCTTCTGCGTTCCCGTTTTCAACAAATTTGTAATTACGATGCAAATAAAATCAATAACAATACTAATAATGAAATGATTGCGTGCGTCTGTACATATACGTTTATGTATAAAAGAAGGTAGCGAAATTGGAGATACCGTCTTCTTGCCGGAAACCATGGTGGAAACGCGCAAAAGGATAAGCCCGAGAGGCGGCCGACGAGTGAAGATTGAAAGAGCGTACCGAGAAATACATGGACTCCATATTTCTTTTAGGGTTTAATAGGTGTGCGTGTTACACTCACTTGCCCCTGCATGGGCTTTTTGTGAGATTGGTAGCTATTATTTGGCCCATATTTGAGAGCCCAGGTAAATATGAAGAAGGGAAAAAATCATATTTAAG